GGATCCTGTGGGTCTTCTGCACTCGGCCTTTTCTGCACGGTCTCATGTTGGGGAGCTTATCCTGTGGATTGGTGCTGCTGGGTTGCATTCATTTTCACTGCTCTGTAATATTCCACTGTGTGAGTCTACACAATGGTGTCAGTCTGTACTAAGCGATGGATATTTGGGTTGTTTTTAGTTTTTTTCCTATTACAACAGTGAGGGTTTCAAAACCCAGATCAGATCCTCTTAGGTGATGAGACAGCCCCTGGCCAGCAGCCAGCAGGGACCTGAGGCTCTCGGCCCAAAAGCCTGCTGGGACCCAAACCTTCCAATAACTCTCCCCCAGCTGATGCTTGAGTGTAATCTTGTGAATCCTAGAGCCGGATAACTAGCTAAATGCCACCCAGATTCCCGACCCACGGAGACTGAGATAAATTGCTTTCAGCCACTATATTTTGGAGCTATTTGTTACAGGGCAATAGATAACTGATGCATTAATGTTATATTATATTTCCCCCTTCTATAGTATCTGCTTCTTCTTTTTTTTTTTTAGTTTGGAGTGAGCATTTATTTGCACAATTACAACATGCGGACAAAACCCAGCAGAGGGGAGCAGGCCTGGCATTTGCACCCCAGTGCAGCAGTTGGCCACACCACCAGCACAAAGGGAGACACACGAAGGGGCTACGATCTGGGATGATCTGACAGTGGTGGCAGAGGTGAGGGTGCAGGTGGTGCAGCTGCTACTCATCCTCCTCCGAAGACTCTCAAATGTGTAGGCCATGAAGCAAGCGTCGGGTCTCACAATCTCAGAGTAAAATAAATTAGCTGAAAGACTCTGACCCCCTGACCATCCCCTCGCCCACCCGGGATCTGCAGGGGTGGGTGGGACGTGAGGAGCACCCGGGGGCTCTGGCCAAGGTCACTGCAGCCGTTAAGGGGGGACCCGGAACTCTGGCTGCTGCCGCCTCCGCGCTGTGCAGGCTGATGAGAGGCAGGTGCGACCGGCGTGAACGCGGCGCTGGGTTCATTGCCCGCTTCTCTCCGGTGAAACAGTGGCTGTTGAGGATCCGCTGCAGGGAGGATTGGCCGCTGGGTCGAAACCAGGAAAACCTCCGCTGCTGCTTCAACATCGCGGAGAGCTCCCATTCATGGCCGCGTCCACGTGCCTAGAACCTGACTGTGCGCGGCGGCCCCTCCCCCGAAGGCTTCCTCCCCACGTGCTCATCTGGTTCGCTCCTGCCTTCTCTCCGAGTCCTTGCTCACAGGCCACCTTCTCCAGGAGGCCCACCCTGTTTACACGTGCAGCCCCTCCCGTCCGGCGGGCGTGGCTTGGTGGTTGAGTGTCCAGCTACGAACCAACAGGTCACGGGTTGATCCCCGGTCAGGGCACATGCCCGGGGTGCAGGCAGGACCCCTACTGTGGGGCGTGCAGGAGGCAGCCCATCAATGATTCTCACTCGTCATTGATGTTTCTCTCTCTCTCTCCCTCGCGGAAATCAATATATATATTTAAAATGCCGCCTCCTACCCCACAGGCCCCCAAGCCCTCTTCACCACACTTACTGTCCTTCCAGACCATGTCTCCCTCCTCTGCCCGTCAGCGCCCCGAGAGCAGGACCTTTGTTTTGGACTCGAGGCAGTCCCAGTGCCAGGAGAGGACCAATATTTACCGATTTCATGATTCCGTTTACTTATGGGAACAAAGAGCTGTTCCCTAAGTTCCAGCTCTACCCACCTCCAAAACCTCAGTGGGGTCACCAGGTTCCGGCCCAAGTTCCCAAACCCTGACCCTGGAGTCCCGGGCTGGCCTCCTGCTGTGGGATCCGGTTCCGGAATCCTCGCCTCGGGCTCTGGAGGGGGAGGGAACCCAGACCCCACACTGGGGTCCAGGCCCCCAGGCCCGGGGTGCAGAGCTCGGGTCCCCAGACTCGGGCTTCGCCATCCGTCCCCCACCCCCTTCCCTCCAGTCCGGGCCCGTCATCCAGGCTCAGGACTCAGGCTCGCAGTCGCGCCGGGAGCCGGCGGCGGCCCCATCCCTGAGATTTTGAAAAATCTGGCGCCGGCCCCCGGGTGGAGCGGGAGGGTGGGCGGCGGCGCCGGGCGGGGCTGGGGGGCGGGGAGACCCGGGCGGCTGCGGGCGGGGCGCTCTGGGCTCCCGATCCTCGCCACCCCACCCCACC